GCTCTCTTACACACACACAATTTTAACAAAAACACTGAGTTTCCGGTGGGCTGCCGAAGTGGCCCTACCACCAGGCTTAGCAAGATTTTTGAGGGAAACCCTGGGTGATTATTGATGTAGGTAGGTAGGTAGGTAGGTAGGTAGATAGATAGATAGATAGATACAGTTGTGGTCAAAAGTTTACATACACTTGTAAAGAACCAAATTTTATGACTGTTTTTTGTGACAAACATGTATGTGTTCCGATCACTCTATCACAGAAAAATAAGAGTTGTAGAACTTATTGAAAACTCAAGACAGCCATAACATTATGTTTTTTTACAAGTGTATGTAAACTTTTGACCACAACTGTAGATAAAATGACAAAGTATGGGTGGGTGAATTGAGAATGGATGGAAGATATAGGATGAGTAAAAGATGGATGGATGGATCGTTGATGTAATATGCATGGATGGATGGATCATTGGTGGAATATGGATGGCTGGATCATTGGTGGAACATGGATGGATGGATGGATCATTGGTGGAATATGGATGGATGGATGGATGTTGGATCGTTGGTGGAATATGGATGCATGGATGGATGGATCATTGGTGGAAGATGGATGGATGGATCATTGGTGGAAGATAGGTGGATGGATCATTGGTGGAACATGGATGGATGTATCGTACATGTAAACCTATTAAAATGTCCCTGTTGATTTAGCATTACAAATATGTAAAATTAATCATGTTTGTTTCCTACCTTCAGAATTTTCACTGGTGGGCCTCACAGACCGGTATGACCAGTTTAAACTACACACACAACAAATAATTAAAGTGTTTGTTTATTTGTTGTATTCATGATCCCCTTTTTCTTTTCATCAAACATAGGATAAACACAAAGTCCCATGCAGACGCAGGAACCACAAAACATTAGAAAAGCAGAGACGTGTTCAACATGGAGAACTCTTGCACAAACTCCGGGAGGTCTTGAACATGCACTCCAAAACCTCCGTAGTCCACCTCCTCTCCAAGGTTAGTTCACATCTTGCTCACATTGTTGAACGTGACACAGCTCTTCCAAAGGGGGAGAGAAAATAAAACAAGCTTCAAATTTCAAGTTTTAAATTTTGAAATTCTTAAAAAACAATTAAATTTATTTTGGGCCAAAAAGAGACTTTTTCATACCATTCTCCAGTCTACTGTGAGTACTGTAAATAACCACCATAAAAAATGAAATAATGTATTTAAAGGGGTTTTTGTCCCCTGATATGTGCAGAACTGTTCTAATATATCTAATTTAAGCGTTTTTGCAAGTCGCAAATTATTTCAGTACATTTTCTTGAGTTTAAAATGTAAACTGTGTAAAAACTGTTTTTGGGATCAGTTGTTATAAAATGATTTTTCTTCTGCTGTGTTTCTAGGCTGTAGAAGAAGTTCAGAATATGACAGAGACGTCCAAACGTCTCAAAGAGGAGGAAGAGAAGTTGCTTCAGAATCAGCGTGCTTACGTGCGCAGGTTGTCCTTAGAGTCAGGTATGTGAGGTTTGTTGTTCTGGTTTTTCCTCAGGATTTGTTGTAGAGGTTTAGTTACCATTTAGTATTCAGTCTGTCTGGAAAACATTAGAGAAGTAATCATGAGAGTTTGATTACAAAGAGACAGAATTTTTGTTTTGGATTTATTGTGAGATGCAGCTGAACAAGTGTCTTTTTGCCTCTACTTGAACCGAAAACTCATCTGAATTTGACCATTTTAGGGAAGTCTGAAGTCCTGATCCAGAACAAGCTAAAGGAGATTTTTGAGCGACAGAAACAACGGGAGAAGAACTTGAAGTGGAAACCGGTCTTTTCCCACATGCTGGAGAGCAGAGCTGCTCTCCTTCAGGCCACGGCTCCCCAGCCGTCCAAACAGAGAACAGACAATTTAAATATGCTACTAACCATGCTTCATCCTACAAAATCCAAGGAACCTGCCGCAGATCCAGCATCTGGACAACACCCTCCTCCGTCTCAGGCGGCGGTCCTCCCATGTCCGACGSTCACCGTCCCACCGTCACAGCATGGTGAGCCTCCTTCGACTGAGAGTCAGGAAGCAGAACCAAAAGCGCCCTCAGAACAAGCTCAAACAAATGCATCCCAAACTGGACCCCAACCTGGATCTTCAGCACCCATGGTGTTGTCTCCACAGCTGCTCGCTTCTCTTCCTCTGATTCGCTCCAAAACTGGCAGACTCATCCTTCCTTCATCTCTGAAGCCAAGTAAGCTAACAGCATCTTGCTTGTTTAAATGTTATTTTAAAGCCCCGTCTCACGGTGTTGTCTTTTATTTTTATGTTCTCAGTTGGTCAAGGCTTCTATACCCTCATGATGATGGAACCCAAGCCGAAGGAAGAGCAGAGTGAGGCGGGCTCTTCATCAATCGTCCAGCCTTCTGACGGGGAATCGAACAAGAGCTTAGAGAAAAACACCCCTCCAATCGAGCAGCTTGTTTTGGAAAACAAAACTATCGTGGAAGACAAAGCTGGAACATCTGATTCTAATCCAAGGACCCCAGGAGATCTTACTCCACTGGCCGAACCGGACTCTAACCAACCAATCGCCCCGCCTTCGCTGGATGTCAAAGACTCAGACTTGGCTGTGACCCAGCCTCCAGCTGCTGTTCACCTGTGTTTTAATCCAGTGGATCCTCCTCCTCTTCCTCCTCCTCCTCCTCCTCCTCCTCAGAAGCCTGATCCCAGCCTTCCGGATGGTCGCCGTCGCAGGGGCAGGCCTTTGAAGAGAAAAGGTCGTGTTGCAGTCAAAACGAAAGTGAGCGGCGGTGGCAATCCTGGAAAAAGCCTTTCAGCGGAAACAGGAAATATGGAGGTACAGGACGATGTCAGTGAAGCAGACTGGTACCCTACAACAGCCAAACGAGGCAGAGGTAGACCTCCAAAAAAAGGTTCAGCTAATTCATCATCGAAACAGTCCACATCCGATGACGACGACAGCCCCATTCGATTTTCAATTGGCAGTTACAAAAGCCCCGATTCGACGCAGTTCGAAGGAGATGTGTACACGTCTCGACCGCTCACACGAGGCTCCCTAGGGAAGGACTTCCCCAGTGCCAAGAAACGCTCCTGGATAGACATGGAGAGGGAGCTGGAACCGGACCTGGACCTGGACCTGGAATATACCTAAACTCCACTAACACAGGTGGATGTGGCAGCTGCATGTCAAAAACTTAGTCTTCCCTTCATAACCGGAGAATTTTCTCTGTTTTTGTCTGCCGGTTTTTAGCGTCATTGTACGTTGGCTGTTTGAAAGCCAAAGGATCAGGAGAGCTCGTCTCTTCAGTGCTGCTCTTTTTTTACAATTGTTTTTTTTTTCTTTATAAAGAAAAAAGCAAACATACTGGACTTTTCTTTCATATGACAGAAGATTAAAAAAAGCATTAAATGACCTGTTGAATGTATGACTGAAGCCTGCTGGAGGTGTTAGTTTTCATGGTTTTCTAAAATATAGTTTTGTTTAAATCATTAGTTTTTTTATAAACATGTTTCTGACAGTCACTACTTGAAGCTGTTTGTGATTCCTTTTATGCAAAAAAAAAAAAAAAAAAAGAATCAGTGAGTGTGTAGAATTAAACCACTGCACGGCTCAAAGCTTCCTAGTTTTGATAAAAAAAATTTTTTTATGAACTTACAATGCTCATTCCATTGTTTTTTGTCTAAAACAGATCAAATTAACTAGTTGCACTTTAAACTATCCACTGAAGCTCCTACTGTTTTCTGTCTGTTTAGTAACATTACTTATATGTATTTTTGACCTAAAATATTGAAACAATAAAAAATAGTTACTCATGTTTTGTGTGCATAAAATAACCAGGATGGATTTTTTTTTATGTATACGTTAAAACAGCTTTTGTAGGTTAATTTTGAGACACTGGTTTATTGAGTCAAATTAATAAAATATCTTGTCTATAATAAAATAAAAAGGGTTTTGACATATTTACATTGCTAAGAAAAGCTACATTTTTTTTGTTTCACAAGAAAACTAGCAGATTTATTACCTACTGTGTAACTAATCTTTTCCCCAAGTTATCGGTGCAGAACGACAACACCTTTGAAGTTGAAATAAACAAGGACCACTTCAGTGTGTGCTCTTTCAACATTAGGGCAACACAAGTTCCTGCACTGATTGACAACATGTACAGCAAATATCTCAACTCACACAGGAAAACGCAAAACCTAAAGAACTCTGAAGATAGTGTAGTTGATCTTTAAACAACCAAAACCAAAGTTTTCCTCTGTTTTGACCCCATCAGTGGCAGGTAAAAAAGGTTTTGAACAGGTGTTTTGCTGTTATTTCTATAACGAATGATAAATTTGCACCACGAACACTTGTCTTGTTGAGTCTTGCTGCCTTAATACCAGCAGTTTGGGAATTGTTTTGTTGAAATAAGCAAAACGTGGATGTGCTCCAAAAACCAAATACCTAMCATCAGGGGTGTCACTAGGTTTTAAGGACAAGGGGGGCTTAACCCCAGGAGACGCACAGAATTTTTGTATATT